AGCGCGGCCGCTCCGCCGGGGGTCCCCGGGGAGGTCGCGGCACCGCGGGGCTCCCCGAGGGACCGGGCTGGGGAGGGAGATTCGGGACGGGAAACTCGGGAAGCGGCTGTCCCCCGACGAGCAGGGAGGGAGAGCTTGGGAACGAGAAGCAGCTCCCGGGGAAAGGCACGGCGGCAGAGCGCGGGTTTCTCCTGTGCTCCCACCCGCCAGCCCCGAGGCTCCCCTCCCGGGGTTGGGAGCCCGCTGCCAGCACCGGGGGTTATCCCCAGTGCCTGCCCTGGATTCCCTCTCGTCCTCCAGATTTTCTCATCCTTGTCCCGGGCTGCCTGAATAGCCCTCTCCCCCTTCCCACCCGGCCGGGTTCCCGGAGCCCCAGCGGGGTGTGCAGCAGGCGCCTTCCCAGGCCCGCACCGGCTGTGAATGGCCACAGCTGGCGGCTCCAGAGAGCTACGGACAGGGGTCTCCGGGAGGAAGGATGCTCCCTGCCCCGCAGTTCAACCCCAGAACTGCTCTGGGCCAGTTTTGGACTGAGAATAAGAACCAGACTTCCCAAGGCTTGAGGCTGCTCCCGGGTGGGGGTTTGGGATAAACTGGACACGACGCTCTCAGGCACAGGGTGGGATTCTTGGGGCTGTTGTGTGCAGCACCAGGATTTGGACTCATGATCCTTGTGGATCCCTTCCAGCTCAGGATATTCTGTGGTTCTCTGAGCTACCAGGGGTGATGTATGAACACAGGGTGGAGAAGGCAGCTCTGGGGGAAGACCCCCTGCATGAAGTGTGATGGGTGCACCATACTTTGGAGACACAGCAGACTGAGGAACCTCATGGTTGCATAAAGCCAGCTCCACCAGGGCATCAAAATCTGTCCCTTTGCCCTGCCAGGGTATCCCTTTGTGTTGTGCAAACTGTCACCCACAGTGAGAGCACAGTTAATTTATGAGACCAAAAGATGTGGTCATGGAGTGGCCATGGGAACTCCGAAGCTCATCAATTAACCACAACCAAAAACCAGCTCAGAAACGATGACTGTGGCCACAAACCACGGGGCTGAGCGCAGCGAACCCACACCAGCGTCTCGGTGTCCTCCCAGCGCTGCCCCAGAGCTCACACACCATCACAGACGCCTTCTTTTCATATTTCACTTTTTTTTTTTCTTTTTTAGCTCAGACCTGACCCATGCATTAGAAAAGCCCAGGGATGTCACTGAAAGGACACGCAGATAAAAGGCAGTGCTGACACTGTAATATCTCTGAGTTATTCCTATACCACTCTGAGTTTAAAAGAAACATCTGTTAGCAAGGTATTTGGACTATGAATCCATCAAAATTTGTGAAATATTGCTATCGCCATTTCAAATGTATCACACTGTGTGTTATTCTTAACAAGGAAAAACAATTTTGGGAGTAGCTGCTGTGCAACTTTTTTTAAGTTAAATAACATTTTCATTGAAAATACTCCAGTCTATAAACAAAGTTTACATGAGGGCCTGTATAGCGCTGCTCCTAAAACAGATCTCTGGACTGGGAAAACCAACCAGCTCCCTCTTTGTGGTCCTCTCTTTGTCTGAAGACCTCACTGGGGTTTTGTAAGGAGGGGAGAGTGGCCGTGTTGGAAATGTTTGTCCCGGAGGAATTCAGTCACACGGCATCCAGTGCTGCTCTCCTAAACCATCCCGTTAAGCTGAAATCCCGAAAATTGCTTATGTAACGCTGGTTAACCCCTGTGTGAGGAGGTGGCCAGCTGGGGCCAGAGAGCCAGGGCAGAGCAGTGTGGTTTGGGCTCTCGTAGGAGGCAAGAGCGTATTTGAGTAGCTCCCTGGTTACTAAGAAGTGTTAGTCATGGGGAAAGCTGTAGTATTTATTCCGTAAAATGTAAATACATAACCCAAACCACAAAGGAATAACCATGGATGGAAATAGTGTAGCGTTTACTGAAGGAGCTGGGCTGCCTTTCTACAGAAGCTGTATTTCCTCGGCCCCATAGAGCGTAATTCACCTTGAACAGAGCTTCTGCTCCAGCCCGTGGAATTACACATCAGCTGAACTCAGTCCAGGCACACTAAACAACCCAGTGTGTTATATATTCCAACCAAAAAAGTGATGCCAAAACGGAGCTAAAAATACAAATGTGGAAGGTTTGAAAAGCAAACACTGCTTAATTCAGCGGTAGATGCAACATTAAAGATCCAGCACATCAAAAAGAGAGAACATTGTGTCTCCACTCAATGCAAGGCTCAGCTCCCCTGACCACACCTCACATGGGTGATGGGGGGATTGACGGTGGTCTTGCCTGTGACCCAGTCCCAGCTTGCCTAACGGATCTGCTGCCAGGTTTTTTCCTGTCTGTCTTCTGTGAAAAACCTTCTGGGAATCTCTGCACCTGGATGGCAAAACCACTTTTCTCCTCTGGAAGAAAAGCACTGGGGTGTTGGGGACGTCACCCTGCAGAGACTGGCCGGACCAAGGGACGATCCATCATGTGCAGACCTTGGCTGTGACAGCAGGCTTTGCTGGTGGCAGTGAGAAGCCCAGGAGCTGGCAGGTGTCCTGGAGCCCCAGTGCCCAGCTCTGCTCGCAGGGGTCAGAAGCTGGGGGGCAATTATTTGCTCATTTTTGTTTCAGCCTGATAATGGTGGCTTTTCCCAGACATGTTCCTGATAAGATCCCAGCCACTCACATCTGACCCATTTCCAGGTTTTGTGTGCTCAGGACAGACCAGCAAGCGCTGCAGGTTGATGTTCAGCACCTCTAGAAATTAGGCCAGCTCTGTTTACAAGGAAAACTTCTCCACTCATGGCAGCATTTCAGGAGATGCCTCTGGACTCAGACCTTCCCAAACCAGTTCTTGCATCCTATGTTATTTTTAGAGAGGCTGCACCTTTTTGGGCTCTAAAGTCTGCAAACAACCCGCCTTGGGAAAAACAAAAAAGAAAGAAAAAAAAAAAAGAAAGAAAGAAAGAAACCAACAACAACAAAATAACTTGCCTCACCAGATTTGTGCTTGAGCAGAAACAAGCCTAAAACCATAAATAAATAAATAAATAAATAGAGGCCTATGTCAGAGACATTTTAATGACATGAATTACAGGAGGAGATGCTCATAAGTGTGCTAAGATCAATTCCCTCCTACCTGTTCATTTCAACTGCCTAAGCTTGTCAATTAAAACAAAGGGAACTGAGCAAACAACTCCAAGGGATTCCATTTTCCAAAGTAGCTCCTCACTAAAAACAAGTGCAGCTGCTTGAATGGCAAAAGGAACATTTTTTTACAACCACTCTGAGATTTTCATTATTTCTCTGAGTGCTTCAGAGCTGGCCTGTTCTACCAGAATATTCTAACTCCTCCTGAATAAATAAATTCATACTTCTAAAGCACAGAACTGGGCCCAGCTTGGACTTTATTTCTGCTTTACATTAAAATGTCTCTTCTGAGGTGTCAGGACCACGTCTAGAACCACTCTTGAGCTGAGAGGAGAATCAGGTTCAGCACTGCTCTTTTATTCCAAACAGGGTTGTGTTGGTTTTTTTTTACAAATCCCTACAAAAACATTGTGTGGGGACATTAAAATAATGTAGTTCTAAAAAGGCAGTCCTTGGTAATCAGACACAAGGCAGTCGAAACAGTAGGATTGTCTGCTCTTTTCTATTTTTAAGATTTTAAGGATGATTTTTATTGTTTTGAGAATGCTATTAAAAGGTTGGCTGTCCCACGCAGGGTGAATCTTAAGTTGCTGTTACTTGACTCATTGCCTTTGTCACTTTTCAGAGATGCCCAAGAGTGAGCAAGGCTGGAAAAGTTACCCCTTGCTGTGAGGTCTCTGCTGCTAAATATTGTTCATTTAGAGATGTTGGGCCTCAAAACTCAGAAGTCTGGGTCTTTCAGGCTGGACATCAGGAAGAATTTCTTCACAGAAAGGGTGGTTTAGGCATTGGAATGGGCTGCCCAAAGAGGGAATGAAATCAGCATCCTTGGAAGTGTTCAAGAAACAGCTCAGTGCTCTGGTCTGCTTGGGAAGGTGGTGAATGGCCAAAGGTTGGACCCAATGATCTTGTAGGTTTTTTTCGACCTTAATGTTTCTATGATTCCACGATTGGGGAATGCTTCAGCAACTTGATTCATAAAATAAAGGGAGAGCCATTTTAATGGTCTGTTGTTCAAATTCCCCTGAGCTGTGTTAGAAACACATCTGTTGTAAAAGCATCTCCACATCAATGGGTTTCCTTGAGGGATGTTAAAAGAAGAACACGCACTGATCTCATCCAGCTTTTGGAAAGAATCGCTGCCTTTAGCCCACTTTTGCTTCTGCACTTTGTTGCTCCCCATTCCATCAAAGCCTCATCCCTGAGAAGCAAGGAGAACCTCCAGGAGATGAAGAACTCATTCCTCCTGCTCTGCAATTGTGGCTGGTACTAATAAAGACCATCATCCTCCCAACGAGTGCCATCCAACCACGTGGCTACCGGAGATAGGCAGATTCCTTTTGGATCTGATGAATCATGAAGGTTTTTGGAGAACAGCACAGCCCTGGCAGCTCCCTGACCTTACAAACCACTCCATGTGTCTCTAGCCCTGAGATGTGGCTTTGTCTGAGTTCTGCTGTTACTGATACTTCCCTCTTCCTCGCTGCCAAAATCTGCAATTCCACACAACCACGTAGCACCTCCGGGGTGCCAACATTTGTCTTTGTCCTTTAATTGCAGCTTGAGATCTGCTGCCAGCAGAAGCTTTAATGATCTCAATCACTACTACAAGGTGTAAATGAGCAGAGCAGGACAACTGCTGCAGAAATAATTCACATGAGCTCTATTGGAATTTTAGCAATAGCAAAGGACTTCACTGGTAGGTGCTATAGCAAGTTCTGGGAAATGTCAGCAGGTGGATGAATTTTGAGTTCATTAATGTGACCATCCTCACCTGAAAGCAGACAGAGAGGATCCTGCCCAAGATTCCCTCCTGGGCAACATGGCTGTGCCCTGTGGCCTCCATCTCCAGCAATAACAAACTGGTGGGGCTCATTTGTACCAGTTGCCTGGTGACAAGGTTCATACTCACAATTAATCATCATTCTTAGAAAGTGCTCGCTGAATAAACTTACACAGGGTGTGTGTGAGCAGAGCACGAGCCTCCCACAGACACGTGACACTGAAAAGATGGTTTCTGATGGAAAGGCTCCTGCTTATTCTGTCACAGAATATCCTGAGTTGGAAAGGACCCACAAGGATCAGAGTTTAATTCCTGGCCCTGCACAGACACCCCAACAATCCCACCCTGTGGCTGAGAGCGGTGTCCAAACCCTCCCGGAGCTCTGGCAGCCTCAGGGCTGTCCCCATTCCCTGGGGAGCCTGGGCAGTGCCAGCACCCTCTGGGGGAAGAATCTTTCCTGGGATCCAACCCAACAGGTTGACACAGCTGCATTGCTTCCTGACAAACCTTTCAGCAGGACCTTCCAGCCTAGCATGGCAAGGCTCTCTGTTCTGTTATTGATCAAGCAAGCTAATTAGTGAGGAGTTAGCTGGGTTTATTTTCAATTAGAGACATTCTTACTTACTGTTACCTGCTCTGCATCTTTGTGGGGCAATAAAAAACAAAAATTTGTAAGCAGAATCAATTCCCACCTTTCCCCCAAACAGCCACGATCAAAAATATTTGAGTGGGGTCACGGTTTGTGTCAACAGGAGTGAAAGCTGATTTAATTTCTGGCTCTTTTCTGCATAAGCAAGTACCTATTTTCCTCTTCCCTGCTTCCATCATGTACAGACATTGACTCAGCAGCCCAGAGGAGGCCTTCAGCAACCTGGGAATTTCAAAGGCCATAGATTTGGTGCAGAGCTGCAAGTACTGGGATGCCTAAAGGAAGCTTGTCCTAGTGATGAAGGATCTGATTTGGACTTCAGAAGGTCTAGGTTCATCTTTGTGCTTCTGTGGCAGTGACTGAATCATCAGGAATGTACTTTATCCAAGTGGTTAAGAGTATATTAAACAGTGAAGAGTCATTAAAAAACATGAGGAAAGGATGCAATTAGAATTAAAAGCAGGTCAGAGCCTCCGTTCTGGAAGAACAAGAGCATTTTGCACCATTGTCAGAAATAAATAAAAAAATAAATATTACTTTTGAACAGGTCCCCAAATTCCAACCCAACAAATAAAAATCTTTCCAACCTTTTAGGTGGGACTCCAAGCCCTGGAAAAATACTGGAGGAGTACCAGGACATGGAGACTCCATATGATCTCTGATTTACAGCACATGAGACAAAAGTGGTGCTGTCCTGTCCATCACTGGAGAGACACCTGGTGATTCACCTGTCACCCATGGTAGAAGAAGAGGAAGAAGAAGGAGAAGAAAGATGAGAAGAAAAAGAAGAAGAAGGAGAAGAATAGCAGGAAGAAGGGAAGAAGAAGCAAAACTAAATTTGCCTGGAAATAAGAGATTAAACACATTGTAGTCGGAGATGGCTTTCCAGCATTTTCCAGAAATACTCATCAGGGCTTTACATTACTGGCTGGCAGCCACGAGGCCTGTGAACTGAAGGGAGGCCAATTTCTTGACCTGCAGGTTTCAATGCAAAGACAGTCTGTCCTCTCTGATACCTTATCCAAATGATGTGGGCAAACCAGCGTCGTACGTGCGTTCCGTGCGTGTCCGATCCCACAGGCAAACCAGCCTTTCAATTTCCTAAAATACCAGCCACCAAATAGCTCACAGAGGGATAAAACTGAGGAACTGGCTTAAAAAAAAAAAGGAAAAAAAAAGAGAAGAGGGACTTTTAGAAAAGGAATATCTAAATGTCAGCTTGAAGAGGAAAAAAAGTGAAATGGCAAAAAAGGAATGATTCTGGAGACATCTTGTATCTGTTTCTTGTACATGAAAGGGCCTTAGAAGTCAGGGGGTGCTCACCTCCACAGAGGTCCACCTGGGCAGAGGGTTTACAGAGCCAGAGCCCAGAGGATCAGCAGGAAGAACAGGAGAGAAAACTGATATGGAAAAGAAGTGAAAACCAAGTAGGCAAATTCAGTCTGGGCAAAGGGCCAAGGGAAGGCCAAGTGCAATTCTAGAAAACAGGACTGGAGCCAGAGGCACCGAGGTGTCATGACAGGCCTGCAGTGGTCTACAGTGACAACCCAGAATGATGCACCTGTCAGGAGCACAGCATCACCCAGACATGCAGAGAAATAGGCTTCAAAGTAGATTTTTGAACAGAAGTCTCAGGACGGAGGGTCTGGGCCAGCAGTTTTTACTTGTGCAGGATCTGGAGTTAGCATAAGGCTGGTATCTCCCTGTACCAGCCCCCCTGGGCACACTGGAGTTACACCTTGAGTCAGGGAAAGCAGAACTAAGTTAGAACAGTTTCCCTGAGGACCTGTTTGTTCCCCTGGTTTCACCCTGCATTCCTGCTTGTTCCACCTCTGTCCTGCTGACTCTGCTGCCTTTTCCCACCCTCTGTACACATACCTGATAGAGCAGCAAGCCTCAGAAGCAGGTATTGTATGCAGCACCACACCCCAATTCGCAGAAACATTGCAAAAAGCAAATGTGAAACGTCATTTGTAAAACCGGCATAAGCTCACAAATGTTCCTCACAAAGACCCAACACTGAGGTCACTCCATGGCTGCCAAAAAGTCACCTGTCCTGTCTCCAGAGGCCTCAGCAAGTCAGCTTCATCTCCCATCACTCTTTCCCTACATAGCTCTTAGGGGCAAAGTGGGGCAGGAATCCTGATGCCCGTCCCCTCCAGCCCAGGCTGAGGAGAAGCCGAGGGGTGTTGGGGATTTAGGGATTGCAGGATAAAAATGAAGTGGATTAAGACAGATGTTTGAAGAGCAGAGGATAAAGTGAGAGGGTCAAAGAGGACTTAGAGTCCATGAGGACTGACCTGAGTCAGGAATAGTAGAGACAAAGCATAGACCCAAAGCACAAAATAGCAAGGTGGGATTGACAGAATCTCTCTCACAGTGGTGCCACAAGGAGAGCTTGGACTTGCAAATCTGTTGTGTGATTTCCTTCCCTCTCTTGGGACCACCAGCCACTCCCAGAACAGCCACCATTCCTTTTTCACAGGTTCTCCAACTGCTAAGCCACCAGGAGGTCAGGATGGCCCCACCACGGGAGTGTGGTGCCTTGACATGGATGGCACAACT